CAGGTGCAACCCAATGTTTCTGGATTTTCATTTTTTTCGTGAAGCATTTCGTTACAAAGAACAGAGATAAAGGAGAGGAAGAAGCAAGAGGAAGAAGAAAAGAAAAAGAGGACAAATAACCTTGACCTGGGAAGAAGAAAAGAAAAAGAAGAGGAATAATTTTGAGGAAGAAGAAAAGAAAAAGAAGAGGAATAACTTTGAGGAAGAAGAAAAGAAAAAGAAGAGGAATAACCTCAATGAAGAAGAAAAGACAAAGATGAGGATGAATAACCTTGACCTACGAAGAAGAAAAGAAAAAGAACGAATAACCTTAACCTAAGAAGAAGAAAAGAAAAACAAGAGGAATAACCTTGAGGAAGAAGAAAAGAAAAAGAAGAGAAACAACCTTGAGGAAGAAGAAAAGAATTCTGTTTAAATAACATTATTGATTTTTTTTTTTTATGTTAACATTATTGAATGAAATAACATGCAAAAAAAATGAATTATGAAAAATTACAATGAGAAGATGACGAGATTTGCAAGTTTTCCTCGAAGAGACTTGCAGGTGCAACCCAATGTTTCTGGATTTTCATTTTTTTTGCGAAGCATTTCGTTACAAAGAACAGAGATAAAGGAGAGGAAGAAGCTAGAGGAAGAAGAAAAGAAAAAGAGGACAAATAACCTTGACCTAGGAAGAAGAAAAGAAAAAGAAGAGAAATAATTTTGCTGAAGAAGAAAAGAAAAAGAAGAGGAATAACCTCAACTAAGAAGAAAAGACAAAGATGAGGATGAATAACCTTGACCTACGAAGAAGAAAAGAAAAAGAATGAATAACCTTAACCTAAGAAGAAGAAAAGAAAAACAAGAGGAATGACCTTGAGGAAGAAGAAAAGAAAAAGAAAAGAAACAACCTTGAGGAAGAAGAAAAGAATTCCGTTGGAGGACTGGGAGGAAGAAGCCGCCTTGATTATTGTTTTTTTCTTAAAAAATAAAAAAAGACGTATTTGGTTCTTGCAAAGAAAATTGTTTACATTTGGGTAATTTTTATGGATTATGATGTCTTATTTAAGTATTTTTTTATTAGCTGCAATTAAAAGTTAGAATTATTAACTTT